TTATGTGACAGAACCGGAGCTCTTGGAGGTGGACGAGGCATTCATGCCCAGAGATCATTCAGACGACGAAATTATCACCCCAGACATTGAAGAATCACCATCACTGCCTTCCAGTCTAAATTGGAAACGGAAGATACAAGAGGATACTAGGATGCATGGGGCATCCTGGTATGAACCAGAGAAAGATCGTAAGTCTGTCCGTCATAATCATTGTACCCACGATGTTTATGCCTTTTCTATAGGAATAATCATCACAGAGCTCACTGACTCTGATTCAGAACCCGAAGATCAAAGTAATGCCGTTCAGATCATGTCGTCTGAGGCTACTCCGTATTGGGATGAGGAAGAGAAATGCTTTAAACCATTCAAAGTCTCTCCTGCATATTTATCACGGTTCGGGAAAATTCCTCAGACTGAAAATCTGCCCATTAACGAGCCGAATTGCATGGCCTTGGTCGCATATAGACCGCCTCCATTACCATTGCCCATTCTCGGACAGGTCGACGAAGTGGAAGAAATGTCAAGCTCTGATGATCAAACACAAGACGGCATGGTAGTGGACGCCATGGAGCTCGATGAGTAGAACATGTTTTCACAGACTTTCGTGTATTCACTTTACTTGTAGAGTACTTCTATGGTTGGCTAGTATATTCGTTTCTAATTATCACTATTTCTTGATGTACTTGTGCTACTATGATGGGTGCTCGGACCGCGGACTGCAATATGTCTAGCCATTGTAATGAATCAAATGCTATTGAAGTGAATATTACATATAAGGTAAATTCCTCGTGATACGAATCGAAGAGACCTCTTGACCATAGCGAGTACAAATGTAGCTCCTTGGTACCCCTTCGACCAACCGTTTTAAGCTTTCATACCGATCTTCCCACGTTAATAGGATCGTATCATCGGTGTCTGGATAGGGTGGTAAGCCTAGTGTATCCATGGAATTTCTTGCCTCTGGGAGGACTGCAGCTGATGGTATGGTGTGGCAAATTCCCATTGACCGCAGACACAACACACAGCCAGATCTATTATAATAAAAGTCAGAAACTGGTTTTTGATATGCTCGTACTTACACATCGGTATCGGCAATCAAGTCGAAATTACCTTGAAATGATAATTTCGTCGTCTGAATGATCTCTGGGCATGAATGCCTCGTCCACCTCCAAGAGCTCCGGTTCTGTCACATAA